TTAAAATTTAATTATTTTAAAATCTATTGATAAAAAGATTAATTATTGCAAATTAATGAATCTGAATAACTTAAGATTTCTTACAGCATATGTTAAATGTTAAAATAGCGAATAAGACACTTTTGTGTTATACAAATTACTGTAAGTACAAACAGAATGTGGTTGAATAAATTGTGAAAATGAACAATGCAAAAACTAGCTTTGCGTGTAATTTATGGTGAGAATGAGCATTGTAAGGCATCTCATTTTGGAAAAGAGAAAATTGAGCACTTTTTACAAAAACTCACAAATCTGCAAAGTATTCATATTATTTTAGTTTTACGTTCGTTATTTTGTAATTTAATAATTATTTGCATATGAATACTTCAAAAGTTATAAAATGATATCCCTAATTGAATTCTAATTGTCAAAAGACTACTTGTAATCTTTGTATATAATCAAGAGACTCAATGTATTAATAGAAAAAACATAAAAATGACATTTTGCTTTTTCTTTAACGACATTCAGTCAAGCTTAAAAGTTTTGTAGCAAATAAAGTGTCATTTGTACTTAAAATAAATATAATTTTATAACTTACATTGCTAAGTCGCTTGTCAATCTCAGGAAGAGCCTTTTCCACAGCTGTCTTTTGGATAAAACAACATGCTAGTTCCAAATTATCTCTTGCAACAATGTCAGATGCATGTTCTGTTAGTTCCTTTTGTTGTGGGGTAGGATTCTGCAATTAATTTAGACAAAGCTTAATATTCTTCATTTTACCAATGAGTGAAAAAAAAACATATGTATAAAAAGGCTTTTTACTCTTAAGGCTGTTGTAAAAGCATTTCTCAAGTTATTAACGATGGAAATTAATAACGGATCACGGCAAGTAATCATAACCATCCCAGCAGTCAAGCTTCGGATCATGTGATGTGCAGCTCCCCTCATTCTCGATTCTTCGGGATCCAATGCAAAATCCTGGTTTTAAAACAGATAGGATTAGTTGTGAATGTCTGAATAAATCTTAGTGTTACAGATAGAAAAATAAGTTACTTTTTTGATTATTTGTTCACAAGTAGTTAATGATATCTTTACGGATCTATCAACAACTGGTCCAATCCATTCTTGAACAGCTCTTTCAATGGCTGCTCTGACACACTGTTTTAACTGAGCATGAGCTTGGAACAATGGAAGCTAAAATTGTGTAAAAGATAAGTAAGCGAAAAAGATTTTTTGAAATCATATATAAATGCTAATGATACAATAAAATGTTTTGATTTTATTAAATTATTTTCAGAATTTGTGGGGAAAAAAAAGAAAAAAAAAAGAAATATTTTTTTGCAGTATTTTAATTTAAGAAAGAATTTAGGACATAAGAAACATATTGTGCAATTTTTACTTAAAAAACACTGGAAGGAAAAAAAAAAAATACTGAAATGTCACATAAAAATTTAAACTGAAGGAAAACAAAACTAACTTTTACTTTTTAAAAATTGCTATAAATATTTATATATAATATATATATATTATATATATATTATAAT